GAAATTAAAACAATATAAGATACAATATATGTTTGAAAGATAAAATTATATAATTTAGTTTAATAAATAATATAATACGTCTAATATTACATATAAATTATTTTTTTAAACTTATGCATGTTGTATTTTGTTTTACTTTACTAAATTATTTAAATACAAAAGAATATTTCTACTTTATATTATTTAGAATATTGTTTCATGTGCCAAAAATTCATTTGTTTGGCATTGAAAATATTTAGCAAGTTCATGATCTTAGATTGAACAGTACCATATGAGCTAGATTTTATAAATTAATTCATCTTAGATTTTAACTAGAGTAATAATGTTTATTAGATTATTTGTAAAAAAAAATTAATTGCCAAAAAGCGCCTACGCGATTATAAAAATTATAGACTATTATATATTATATAATTTATTGAAGCAATTATATTGGTTGAAAATAGCAAAGGTGATATTGTTCTTTTACCGTAGATACTATAGGGCTTCGAATAAAGAATACAAAAAGTAATAAAAACAAAAGCTTTTTTAAAAAAACATTTCTTCATTCATTTATTGTCGACGTTTCGGAACTAGGTGGATTTTTTATATAAAATGAATAAAAAAAATTGAAAAAACTTTCAATTTTTCTAATATTTTGTTATATAATCCATTCATTTATTTTTATTACTTTTATTTGACCTTCGAATAAAGAATACAAAAAGTAATAAAAAACAAAAGCTTTTTTTAAAAAACATTTCTTCATTTATTTATTGTCGACGTTTCGGAACTAGGTAAATTTTTTATATAAAATGATTAAAAAAATTTGAAAAAACTTTTAATTTTTCTAACTTTTCTAATATTTTGTTATATAATCCGTTCATTTATTCTCATTACTTTCATTTTGATTATATTGTCATACTTCTGAAATGTTATTTCTTAAGCACGTAGCACATGAAACAAATAACTATCGAAATATGTTCAGAAAGTCTCTCATTTATTGCATAAATATAGGAAAATGTTAATTTACTATTATTTCTGAAAATTTCCATCTGTACCCGTTTACCCTATGTACATTTGAATGTACAATTTAAAACTCTACATAATTATATAAGCAAAAATATATATTTGTCTTACACGTTTTTGAAATAAATTATCGCATGTAAAATTAAACGAGTGAAATGAACAAGAAATTAAACTGTTGCCCAATTCCAACTTTACCGAAATATTTCATTTATGCACATTAATTACATCCGTTTCGTATCCCGCCTTAATATAGCAATGTCGAAAATATTCATGAAATGCATAATAAATATTCATTTTTAGTACAATTCTAAATTTGAGTTAAATTTTAAATGGAAATAGCGGAATAACATATTTAATTTAAATTTATAGATAATTACACATTATAATTTCTCATAATGTCTTTGTGTGAACAAATGTTTTATTTCTTTAGTACGCAGTTGATAAATGCGTCTAGGGCGATGACACCTTTTAACAGATTATATTTTGCTCGTGTGTAGAGTACTTTTTTATACCACGTTGTTCTCTAATTACTGTTTCATTATTATAAAAAATATACCTCTCAAGATTCTTGCATAATGTGCATTAAGCTGCATTAAGATAATGTAACATGTATTTCATTCTCTTACTATCTCATTAATAATAAAAAATAATTATATATATACATATAAACCCACACATTTAATAATAAATTATATATGTATATATATATATATATATATATATATATATATATATATATATATATATACATATATAATTTATTATTAAATGAGTGGGTTTTTATGGTTTGCTTATATTTAAATTTTTATATTTCTTCTCTCTATCCGAAAAAGAATTCAGAAGTTTTTAATTATATTAATTGCCGCTGGGGATAAACTAAACAAGTGCACTTTACAAGAAAGTACAAACTGTAATCCAAGAATTCAAACAAGGCAACGAAACCGTCTATTCCAGAACAAGTTCCAGCAAATACCATGGGAGCAATATACATGAACGTGTGAATATGTTTATATTAGAAATCACAAACCCCAAATATTTCTAGTAATTATATGTAAATAAATAAAGTAAGCTTGCATTCAATTTGTTAGATAACGTTGCCAGTAAAATGCCCAGAATATAATATATGCGCACACCTAATGTGAAATTTTCAAAAAAAATCGAATTTTAAATTTTTCCGTATTTCAATAAGTTATACCTTTAAAAATAACATACTAAAATTTTAAATCGATATCTTAAATAGTTTTTTAGTTAAGAGTTTATATATAGTATATAATATAACGATCATTTTATCTTTAAACACGTTTTTCTCGAAACAGCATTTTTCGAATTTGCTGGAGTGATTACTCGGAGATAAATGATTCGATCGCTATCAATTTTTTTTTTTCATCTCCGGTATATAGTTCTCCATACGATGACCCTCCAGTGTTTTGATCTAATAAAAAATCGAATTCTGGCAGGCCAAAAACTACCAAAATTTTGGGAAAAATTTAACTTTTTTTTAACATGCCGCTATTTTGTCAATTTTTTATTTTTTTCTTTTCGCCCGAGGGTCATCGTACAGACAATATGTTTTAGTTTCACGAGATTTTTTTTATATTTTATCAACGGAGAAGGCTGCAATCACTCCAGCAAATTCGAAATTGCGTGTCATTTCAAAAATATTTAATATTTTATTTTAAAATTTTTACTGTGTATTCTCAAAATATGTATAAATGTATCCTAAAATTTTGAAATAGATTCACTAGTTTTTTTTAAATCCCATAAATATTTTTTTTGGTTGTCGCACTAGGTGTTCACCTTAATGCAATTATTATTTATTATTTTATTTCCAGAATTGCGCGTTCTATTATTACTTATCATAGTAATATCCTCGATTTTGCCGTTAGCATATTTCCTAGGAAACAAATTCTAAGAATATTATTTTACATAAGTTTACCACAAGGAAGTGTTTCACATTAGTTCATTGTTCAAATACAAATGCAAACTTCGAATCTATAAACTAATTCCGTCATGTCGAGTTGCAATGACATATTGGTTCGGTTTCCTGAAAGATGCGAACAACGCAATTTCCTGTAACAATTTATTGCAAATTTCTCAGCTGCAATGTTAAAGTTGGTGAGCGTCTGCGGCAGAATTCGCTTATTCTGAGGCAAAAATGAAATATTTGCGAAACGTGGGTGAATAAGTAGCTGACTCTGTTGAGAGACTTACCCTGTAGCTGGAAACATTAGGTTATACTGTATTCAGGCGAGGAAAGTCGTATTTAACCCAATATATTGGATAAGGTTATAGTTCTGGCTACCACTGTGATCCTAAATCGATGTATATATATATATATATATATATATATATATATATATACATATATATCAAAAGTATTATGAGTGGTTGGAATATTAAGTTGGAAGTATGTGCACCCAGCACTCTTTTACACTTATTTTCTGAATTATTTTAATTTTACAGACTTTTTACGAATAGGTTTGTTTCATTCTCACAAAATGTAATATAATTTTTAATAACTAAAATATGAATACAGACGGAGCCGGTCCTACCCTGAATTACAATGCATGCGAAAAATTTGGGCACAACGTCGAGGGGGCGCCATCACACGTAGTTTTTCGTATAATTTTATTGATAAACTATAAAAGCAATTAAAAAAATAGAGGAGATAGAGCGTCAAGAAAAATGGGCCGCTGAATACAGAAATATGAAAATGAATACAGAAATATGAAAATGAATACAGAAATTCTTGTTATCTGTTGCACAACCTTGAGCTTATCATAATATAAAATGTAGGGATTATTATGGTTCTTAGAAGATATAGAATTATGGTTCTTAGAGCTAGTGTGGTCTACAAATGTGCTTCAATCTATTGTCTGTCTTTAATCTAGTGTCTATTGTCAACCAATAAGAATAAACAATGTAAAGACTATTATTTATCTTACTCTGAAACTCCTGTTGCCGTAATTTTTTCTACATTTGGGCAGGACTGCCCAATATACAACAAATGACATTTCAATCAAGATATTGTTTGCAAAATTAATTGCTTGAATTGTGATGCATTGTATATTTTACAGATATGTGCATAAAATAAAATCACGTTGGATTATTCGTGGTTATAAAACTGCAAAATTATCACACGTCTCATGTAGCATTGCATATGAATTTCAAATAGAATGTAATAAATTGAAATATAGCTCAAATGTTTATATTAATATCAAACTATGTCTGATATTAGATCATCTACTAATACTACATAATAAAAAATCAATTATTTTTTAATACCTATATAGCTATTTACAAGAATATTCTATGAATCTGCATAGAGAGATTTATATTTGAGCACTGTTTATCTTCATTTTTCGTTCCAATCGTTCATTCTCAGAATTCTAAAGCATATTGGTTTTTCATTAATATCAGCATTGTATTTACTACTCAGTATGGAAATACTTGGAAATCTGTATTAAATATTGTGACTTGTTATATTTTCAATAAACTTTATATTATTATAGAATTCTCAGTATAGCTTCAATAAAATTGTAATAGACTCAAAATTATTAAATAAAATTTTTAATATAAATTGATTCATACAGTACTTGCCATATTTGTAAAAAATATTTGTTATAAACTTATATATGGTCTTCTTTAGATATAATCTTTATATACGGCCCTTTCCACTCGCAAATTGCGAAAATTCTGTAATGTATTTTGCAGCCGGATTTTGACATTAAAATTATCAAACCTAAAATTATAAATTTATAAAAGCATATACATACATTTATAATATATATATATATATATATATATATATATATATATATATATATATATATATACTAGACATTTATGTCTGTCTACACATGTGCGTGCGTTTGTTTATATTCCGTAGGCATGTGTCGAAATTATATTTGCAAGCCCATTTATAACTATCAGCAAGACCTATATCGACCTTTATGTTATCATAAATCCATATAAACACGGATTATATTTATTTGCAGGTATAACATATTGTTCATGTTCCTGTCGTATGTTTTGCCCATAGCTTCGATGACCTATACGTACGCGCGCGTAGGACTGGAATTATGGGGTTCGCAGAGCATCGGGGAATGCACCCAGAGACAACTTGAGAACATCAAAAGCAAACGAAGGGTAAGTCGATAATAAATATCATTACACAAACCTACTGTTTTTATATTTATATTTTTAAGAAATTTGAAAAAAGTACAACGTTCAACTAATGAGTTTCGTAACCAACCCGCGATCTTTCGGATTTACTACCACCTAGGGATAGTAAATGTTTGCATATAAATAAATGCAAATCATTTTGAAGATAAGGTCTTGTAAGAGCATAAAAGTATGATATTGTATAAATCAGTCTCCCTAAATAAATAGTACTTTTATTGACTAAAGTAGAACCTCGTTTATCCGGACCTCATTATCATGATTATACGGATTTGCGATTATCTGGACTGCCAACCGCGACCAATTTATATGTATGTACATACCTACAATTCAAATTTTTGCATGATTAATCCTGCATATAGTATATGTATGTAATGTAATCTTAGAAAATATATATGTACATACAAAAGAAATTTTCAAATTTTTAATGTATGTGTCAAATTTTTAATAAATACACAACATTTTACTTCATACATTTGATTATCCGGATTTTCGATTATCCGAATGCCTATCGACAATAATTAGTCCGATTAATCGAGGTTCTACTGTATTTATTTATAGTGACGAAATATTTGATAACAATCCACAAATTAAACAACATACAAAATATCGTTACACTTTTTTTAATTTTAAATAAACTTATTATTATAATAAGTTATAGTTTAATATAAAAATATTAAAAATTACGTTTTAATTTTATTAACGTTGAAATGAAATTGATTAAATTTTAATAATTTAAGTGAAGATTTTCTCTTTATCTTTTCAATTATTAGATATTTAGAATTTTCATTAAGCTTGACATAAAATTTTTGTATATGAAATAATATTAATAGTGGGGTTGAAACTTTATTTAAAATCATATTTTTTTAGAGTTGTCTTGTAATTCTTTTGTGATTATTTCAGAATTGATAAAATTTATTTAGCCGTATGATTTGATAAATACTCTCTTTTTAGATAGCAATATTTATGTAGGTGTATTATATCTGAAGTCAATATTTTATCTATAGTAACTCATTTAAACTAATCTACATTAAAATTAACTATTCATATTTTTAATCGCACTAATAATTTTTTTGTGTAATTTATTTATTCTTAATGAAATTAACTGAGATGTTGTCAGTATATGCAAGAAACCTTCAAATTGAAATTATTTCGATTTTAAGATTAACTCTCTGGTTAACCAAGATCAAATTTGACTTTCTGCAATTATATTGTAAAAATCATAGTAAAAATATCTTGTGCGGCAAAGTATTTTTTATTTTGGTGAGTAGGCCCTCGTGCCATACTAAAGTATCAAATGCCTGTTTGATATCGATAAAAATTGCTGAACAATATTCCTTTCTTTCTATTGCCTTTTGGATGCTATTTACTATCCTATGGCATTGTTGTATTGTGGAGTGCTGGGTTCTAAACCCGAATTGATGATCAGGTATTATATTTAAATACTTTTTCATTCAAACAATTATTAGTAAGAATGTCAAAAATAAAAAAGAGATATCTCATAGGAGATAATCTCTTAAATGCATTAACACCAACATCATATTGTCTTAAAAAATGTAAAGTATGTAGAAAATAATACTTTTGTTCCGGATTTTCAAATCATGCCCTTTATTTTCCAGTAGCAACGTCGTAAGAATCATTTCCCTCTACTTTCAAATATTGTTAAAAAATTCTCAACGTTGCTTGTTTTTGAGATATTAGTAGTGGATCTTATACCCACGGAATTTCGTGCTCCGCTCTACTCTAAGCATAATTAATTCATTGATTTTAAATATCTAATTAAAATTAGGTAATAATGCAAATAGCTACCATAGATTGTAATCAATATATCTAAAATATGTAATTTTATTTCACTTTGCAGGAGAAAGTTTCAATATTACTGGAATAGGTATAGTACAATACGAGTACTTATCCCAATTTCGTTATTATTTATCTGTCTAACAATTTCGTGGAACAATTACGATTCCATTTACCGCCGTTGTTTCGCCTGAAACAATGTCATAAGTAAATTCGGTTAATTGCACGTACGTTCCTACGCTCGCTTTTGTCAATTCTCAATGCTCAAAATGCAAACATATTCTCGAGCATTATTGTTTGCTCAGAGCTACGGAGGTAAAATAATATGGGATTAGATAGCAAAATCTCTTTCTTACAGTCATAAACATAGATTTAAATCTTAACTGTAGTAAATATAAAATACAAACAAACAACTATCTGACTATGTTAAAAACTCGCAGCTAATTCATCACATTCCCATAAATGTGAAATTGGGTTTATAATGAAACTCTTATTGATTTATTTGTTTCACTAATTTATTCACTTATGATTTAGATGTACATAATTGGACTTATTTTGTGCTTTTACTGGTTTCGCGAGATACGCGGGTACTTTCTTATGTCCTTTCTTATTGACGCTTGTACTAAAAAATTATTATCATAATAATAATAAAGTCAATAATATCATAATAAAAAAATTGAATGAAAACATAAGAACCTAAATTAAAATTTTGGAAAAAACTTTAATATTAAAGCATCTTCTCGCATGTCCATAATATTTTAGAATATTGGTTAAGACTATGAAATTTATCGTCATACAAAAGTTTATTATCGTCGCAAATTCAGTTTTAAACGACTAGCTACGAAAAAAGACCCAGCCAATCTTTATCATAAACTAATTAGCATATCAGTAGCTAATATTTTTAAACAATTTTTATATTTTCAACATAAAAAACGTAAGGCGTTTCTAATAAAATCTCGGAGCTCTTCTCTAGTTATATCGATTGTCTTGACTTTTTCAATTAATAATTTTTGCTTTTTCGACCAGATTCCTCTTTATATTACAGAAGCTGGCATTTGTAAATTGTGTTCGTTTAATAGTTCCTGTATCTACAGGTGAGGAGCCATATGCCCGAATTATGTACATATCGTTGTATGAGCAGAAATGCAAACAAACATGCGCTTTGCGGTATAAATGCAATTAGTGCAAATGAAATTATTTCAAAAGTGCAAATGTATTACACCTTGATATATTTGTTTTATAATTTCTCTGGTTTCCTTGCTCATAGTTGTTTCTATTCTCGATTGCTGGAATTACGGTTCTTTCATTCTGTAGTTAAATATTAATGAAATTTGGTTATAGTAATTGAATATAAGCTATACATACACGCACACACACACATATATATATATATATATATATATATATATATATAGATACTAGGGTGGTCCTTAATATGGATATTTTTGAATTTTGATAAAAAACAATTCTCTCAAAGGTTTAGCTCTTAATATTGTTTTTAGATAGTGCGCAATTCAATCAAAGTTTTGTATGAAAATTGCATGAAAAAAATTTCAAAAATTTTAAAAATGTTTTTAGATATAATTTAGTTAACAAATGAATGAGTTTTATTCAAAATTAGTCGCTAAGTTGTACCTAATTTTTTTTTTAAATTTAAAAAAAAAATGTCATGCTATTTTCATACAAAGTTTGATTGAATTGCGCACTATCTAAAAGTTAATACTAAGAGCTTAAACTTTCAGAGAATTGTTTTTTATCAATTTGGAACCATTTGAGCCCTTGAGAGAAAGGAAATTCGTAAATATCCATATTAAAGACCACCCTAATATATATATATATATATATATATATATATATATATATATATATATATATATATATATATATATATTTAGGTTACTATGATGAGAATATTTGAAGGTTCATATTTCTATTATAAGTATAAAATGTGGTATATTTCATTAAATATGATCACATAAAAACCTATTGTCTTAATTGGATGATTCACATACCAAGACATTCTAGTACTTTATTATATTAAAATAGTTAAAATTTATATTATACTCATAAGTTAAATTAATAAATTAATTAATGATCAATTGTGTATAAGAATTATAGGTCTCCTTAATAGTTTTATTTTATTTTTGTATTACTTTAATCATAGGAAAAAAATTAGGAACACAAAAAATGAAATCAATGAAGAAAAAAACAAATGAAGTAAATATAAACGGAAATAATCTCTCATAATCTCTTAGATTTCAACATCCAGATACAAGTTATGTTAATGTATATATGAATTACGTAAAGAATCATCAATCGTGTCATATTTCGAAGCATATATTATTATATAAAAGCGCAATATCGTAATTTGTAAAATTCTGGTACTAATGTATACTCCAAATAATTATATATTTAAGTTTTGACTAAAAAATAAATTATATTTGGCCAAATATGTTCTGATAATTTAATAAATAATTATTATTAAAGTTCGTGATCTAAAAAAAATTATAAATTTACAATTATATATGTGCAAAGCAAGCATCTATAAAAAAACGTTGCATTTTCACTAATTTGAATTATTTCTTGTGTTTTAGTCAAACGTGAAATATTAAGAACACTAAAACTAATAACATTAAAATCCAGAATAAAAGAAGTAATCGTATATAAACCTATTATTTTGTAAATATACCTCCCATAATCTCTCACCGGCTTACGTATGAGCTGAAACTTTATAATACAGTGATCATTATTTGTACAAGCAACCACAACAAAGCTCAGACGAAAGTTCAAAATCTTGAACACAGTCAAAGTTGCAAGATTCTGTGATATCGTTTCACAATAGGTAATAGATATAACAATGGGTTTCTGATGTAACTATGATGGCATACGTGTAGAATCTATTCAGGGCTCAACATGACTTATAAACTGGCAAACTGACGTAATACTGAACTTCTCGTGTCAGGTTTTTGAAGTAGTTAACACTTCAACGTCGAATGAAGTCTTAGAAGGAACTTATCAAATTTTAAATAATATTTTAAGTTTTATCATAAGGTAGAAAGAAGCCAAAATTCAAATTTGACGTTGAGCATTTGTATTATATCACACCAAATAACACATATCAAACAAACAATTATCTGACTCCTTTCTAATTCTTTATTGTAGAAATTTGT